TGTGTGTGTGTGTGTGTCTGTCTGTCTGTCTGTCTGTGTCTGTGTCTGTTAAAACAAGTTCTTACAGTGTACTCAAGACTGAACTTCCGATCCTCCTGCTTCTTCCTCACGAGTGCTACAATTACAGGTGTGTCTCATCACTCCAGGCTTTACTATCATAAGCCTGATCCAGCTGGAACTTAACTTTGGCAAAAGGAGTAAGACCAAAGCCAAGCTCAAGTTTCTGGGTGGATACTGTAGACAGGGTCTGTCTGTAAGAAGGCCATCAGGAGCTGGGCGTTGGTGGCGCACGCCTTTAATCCCAGCACTTGGGAGGCAGAGGCAGGCGGATCTCTGTGAGTTCGAGGCCAGCCTGGTCTACAAGAGCTAGTTCCAGGACAGTCTCCAAAGCCACAGAGAAACCTTGTCTCAAAAAAAAAAAAAAAAAAGGCCATCAGGTGACCCAAGTCTCCTGTTGTCAAGCTGATGGTTGCTCTACTTTCTATAGCCCAGTAGTGTTTGGTAGGCCAAATTCTTGAGAACATTTTTGCACATGGCCTGTTTATTTGTCTATGAACTGAGAGTGAGATGGCTAGGCCTCTTCCCACTGTCCCTCTCAGCACCTTAATCAGTGCCAGGTGTCCTTACAAGCTGCTCCTGCCCACAGTTGGTGGTACAGTTGTCTAGGATTTTGAGTTCCCGGGCCCTGATGGGACTGCCTCTGTAGGATCTTTCTGTGATTCCTTCCAGCTGCTTCTGTATGTGGGCAGGTACTTAATTTCCCTCCATCCATCTGTTCCCAGAACCTGCTGGGTGTCTCCTGTTGCTCACGAGGTGTTACCTTGACCCATTGGTGGCTCAGGTTGGCTGTTCTGTCTCCTATCAGTGCTGGCTATACGGAGTACTGAGTCAGCATGGCTGATTTAGGTAGGAACTTCCTCAGAAGGGCGTTAGATTTCTCAGTCTCTGTATGGTCACACAAGTTCTCTCTTGGAGATTACTAACTGGAGAACTGTGGGCTGAGTGCCCATTGCCACTCAGCTCTCCCTTGCACACGTAGTAGGTCAGATGGGGCAGGAGTCAGGGCGTAACCCTCCCTGACCACCTAAGCCCTTGCCCTGGCCACCCAGAAGGCATTCTCAGTTCTGCTTATTGTGGCCTGTGTCAGCCATCCCTAGCTGCTTAGCTGTAGCTAGAAATGGGTACAGAGAGTCTGATGGAGCTGAGCGGTCACAGGCCAAGTTGAAGGTCAACTAGGCCACTACTGTCAATGCTGGTAGTTCTAGCGTAGATTCGGGTGTCCTTTGTGGTCCTATGGCCAGGGGAGCCTGCTCGAGTCAGAGTTTGTGAATATCTAATACCCTGAGGAGTTATGAAGGTCTCGAGGCTGGGGTGCCCCAACTGCTGTACTCATGTCTCTGCCCTTACTCAGCTCCACCAGTCCAGACAGTTCCAGCGGCGGTGGGGGGGGGGCGGGGACGGGGACGGACAACACCACAGGGCCCCAAGCTTCTCAGCTTTTTCTAACAGTTGTTACCCTCTCAGGAGCAATCTGGCATCTACCTCTAGAAAGGTGTTACCCTAATGGATCCAGTGCTCCAGGCTTACACAAAGGCTTTTGGGTTTCCCGGGTCAGACTCAAGCAGGCTTCTGCTCAGTAGAGGCAGCAGCCAGACCCCACATGTAGCCCCCCCCTGCCCTGTGGCTGTCCTAGAGATCAGTAGCCATGGGCTGTTTATGAAAACGTAGCATTTAGGTCAAGGTGGAGAGGTTGACAGCAGTGAGGTGCCCCAGGCCTGTGGCTGGTAGGGTTGTCACTGAAGTTGGAGCTGTGACCTGAGGAATGCCAGGCTAAACTTACTCTCTGGGCATTCGCAGACTCTTCCATGAGGCCTGGCCAGCTGCTCTTGGGTCTCCATGGGTCCTAGAAAGGCCACGAACACCTGTAAGAAGGCTTCAGCTCCCTGGCTAAGGTGCTCTGTGCCAACTGCCTGGTACGAGATTCTCTTTGCAGCATCATCAGAATATCCAGTATGTCAGAGCTGGGCGGGACTGGGCCTCAAGGGCCAGCGCGTCGCGTGACTCCAGGCCTTTACTGCCTGTATAGTTGTGCCCTACAAGAAAGGAGTCTTGACCCTCCCCATGCCCAGAGACCACTTACACTGACCTGGATGCCACTGTGCCTGTCTCCTCTTGAGTGGGCGACCCATTTTCCTTTCTGTTTCTTGTGGACACGGTGTCAAAGGTACCTTTGTGTTTGGAAGTCCTAGGGACTTCAAAGATAGGCCCAAGGTGGAGGTACTGCTAGGGGGAGGGGATTTTAGACAGGGTTCTCTGAGTATCCCTGGCTGACCTGGAATTCACTCTGTAGACCAGTCTGGCCTCAAACTCCCAAGTGCTAGGACTAAAGGCAAGCAGTATCACCACCCAGCTGGATGCTAGGACTAAAGGCATGCAGTATCACCACCCAGCTGGATGCTAGGACTAAAGGCATGCAGTATCACCACCCAGCTGGATGCTAGGACTAAAGGCATGCAGTATCACCACCCAGCTGGATGCTAGGACTAAAGGCATGCAGTATCACCACCAGCTGGATTTTGCATTTTTACGCAGTGTTTCTGTATTTCCCATCCATGACGGAATGATGGTAGCCACTGATTAATGTAAGACAACAGGTCAGATCAGGGTGGACACAGCAGTGTTGCTGTCCAGGTATTAAGACTGAGGAACAGGTGAGGCCTGAGGTCAGCAGGAGGCCTGAAGGTCGGAAGAGAGGCTGGGGTTAGACTGGTGAGATGCTAGCAGAGGTGGTGAAAGTCTGTGTTTCTGGGAAGGTATACCTGTGGAGTGGAAAGGGTGGGCCCCGGAGCGAGACTGTGCATCTGTCCAGTCAAGGGCCTCAGTCCTGCCAGTCAGTGATGGTCAGCAGGCAGGTGTGAACTGAGGCTATAGACTGTGAACCTGACTGGACGGGGATCTCAGTGCCTGTGTGGTGTACACACACACACACACACATACACACACACACACACACACACACACACACACACACACACAGCCTGAACTGAGGCTGCTTCTATGCTTTCTTTCAGGTTGAGACCTCTGGTGTCTACACATCCAGCTAAGAAGGCAGCTGTGGGAGAGGTATGTTGTCCTGCATAGCCGGGTCAGGGCCTCAGGAACATAAGTTGCCATCAGGCTTGGCAGGGAGAGGCCCAGTTGGTTGCTGCTCCAGCGTTAGCCTAGCTCCAGCAGAGGATCCTGAAGCTCAGGGTGTGAGGGAGCCTGGGTCACAGAAGTGGAGCAGGCAGATATGCTAAGGGCAGGTTTTGTGCTTGCTGCTCTGGGGCTGAGGGTAAGCTAACCATCACTGTGGACTAGTGTCTAGGGCAGAGGCTAGACTGCACACCACTGGGCCTGTCCTCCCTCCCTCCTTTCCCTCCCTCCCTCCCTCCCTCCCTCCCTCAGGAGATAGGAGCTTTTGGGAAAAGGAGGCCTGGGACTTCATAGCCCCAGGAAACCAGAAGGAGGAGCTAGTGGATACAGGAGTCAGGCTGGTCCTCTGACCAGCAGGAGCTCTGGAGCGCCTGTGCCTGGGCTGAGAGAGCCTGAGGGTCCCTTACAGTCAGGAGAGCAGCACACTCTGCTTTCATCCCAGAGACAGGCCCTCTCTTTGCAGGCCTTGCTCTTAAGTTCCCCTACCCTGGGAGCTGAGCCCATCAAGCCATCAGCTGTCTTGGTGGAGAGTGGCCCTGTGTCGTACCATCCTGACGAAGATGCAGATGAGGAGGACGCTGAAGAAGAGGATGGAGAGCCTTGCGTCAGCGCTCTGCAGATGATGGGTGGCAATGGTGGGTAGGACCCACACGGTTATGGGCACACTACAGGATTTTGGGGGGGCACTACAGCAACTTGGGGGGCACTATAGGAACTTTGGGGGGCATCCAGAGAAGTCAGGCCATAGCCATCCACCCAAGGGATTTCCAAATTTAAAGCCTATTGTCCTCAAACTAAAATTCTCTCTACAAAGAAGGGAACCAGGATACTTAAAACTGGCCATATTGATTCTTAGGCTCTCAAGTGTGCTAGAAGGAGCCAGGCAAAGACTAGGAGGCCAGCTCCACAGGGAAAATGAGGCATCTACTGTGAAGGTCAAGGGTTCTGGGTTTGTTGGGAGTCAGAAGGGGGGCTGTTCAACTAATGTCTGGGCTGGCCATACTGTTTATAGTGCCCAGGAAGGAGCCAAAGCCTCCCCACCCCCACCCCCATGGTATATGCCAGTCCACCAGCCCCAAAGACTTCTGGGAATAGATTGAAATGGTGGGCCTTCGGGTGTGGGGCCTGTGAGATGAGGCATTGGGGTTGGTCCTAGGAGCTGGGGACGAGAAAGTGGCTCCCTATGGAAGCAGAGAGCTGCCTGAACTTCCACCACTGTCCTCTGTGCTTTGCAGATTACGGCTGTGACGGTGACGAAGATGACGGCTACTAAGTGGAACTCAAGGCCAGGCAGCATCCTGGTGCTGGACTCCAAGCGTATCTGTCTTATAGGGGTCAGATGGGCCCTGGGGCCACGGCTCACACAGGCAGCACCCTGGTGCTGGACTCCAAGTGTATCTGTCTTATGGGGGTCAGATGGGCCCTGGCGCCACGGCTCACGGGCATGATTTGTGGGGCTCTGCCAGTCAAGTACCACCCTGCTTGATTTGAAGCTTTCTTCCCATGGCCACATTGTGGCCTCCATCACACTTACTGTTGGGAATCATGTTTTGAGCAATGTAAGGAATATTTTTGCCCAGCACGGAAAACCAACTGTGTGTCTGTGTGTCATGAAACACGTTCAGGGAGTAGGTGGGTCTAGATCCCGCCTCAAGAGGCCTAGCATAGTCATTGAGCCCCTAGGCAGGCTCTGTGTGCTCCTCTCCTAAGATGAGAGCACAAAGGGGCTTCACTCATGGAGTAGCTCTGGTCTTTGCCTGCTGCCAGTGCTCTCTGCCCACCCTTCACATCCTGGAGGGATAGGTATTGGGCACAAGGCGTGGCAGTTACTGCTCTATGCTTTGCAGCCACAGAGCCCTTGGAGCCCCTGCTTTTAACTGCTGAGGCGGACACACGCACTCTTGACCAGCTTTAATGTCCGTTCACTGCCTTCAGCCACCAGGAGCCTTACAGGCCTCACTCAGCCTCTTGCTTAGGACACATGAGCTGTGCACCCAGGGGCCTCTGAGGCTGCCCCGTAACGGGCTAGTCTAGTGAGCAGCAAGCAGTGCTCAGGCCGTGGAGAGCGGCAGAGCGGGCACCACTGCACACAGTCTCCTGCTAATGGAGTTGTAGGTTCCCGCCCGGCACCTGGGATAGAACCCGGGACTCCTTATCCTCGCTGCACTTGGCTCAGGCTGCCCTTTCCTGGACGCAGCCCTGGATGTGAGTCTGCACGGCCTGGGCTGAGGTGGCCAGGCCTGAGAGGGTGAGGTGTCAGGGAGCGCTGCAGGTAGACACAGATGGGTGGGACAGACACAGGGATTTTGATGGGAGGATTGCAAAATGCCTTTGGATTCTGTTGTGGGAGTGTGGAACTGTAATCCAGGGTGCCTCCTAGGGTGGTGGGCCTGTGTCACAGCACTGAGCCAGAGCCATGGTAGACACTCGTCCAGAGTGTAGTGAGGGTGGCTGTGTGCTTGTATGTGACGACAGGACTGAGAGGTGGCAGGGAAGAGCTGCAAGAATAGAAACAAGTACCTCGTACAGGAACTGAGGCCTGCCCCAAGCTGTGCCTTGTCAGTGCTGGAAAGAGCACGAGCCAGTAAGGAGAGAGTTGAAGAAAGTCAGGGCAGAGGGAGGGGGATGGGGAGAACTGTCCCTAGATGATGATGAGGCCTGTATCACACGGTTGAGAGACCCAGGTGCTAAGGAGTGAGGTCCCAGTAGGGGGCAGCCATGACGTGGGCAAGGGTAACCTCTGAGCTGAGGCCACAGCCTTGTGTGTGAGCTGCCACCACCAGCAGTAGTGTGAGGCTCAAGGAGGCATTGGGTCTATATGACCCTGCTCTGCATACAGTTGGTCCCCTTCACTGTGCTCTTCTGACAGACTACCAAAGAAGAGTGCAGAGCAGTGCTGTAGACAGCCTCCTGGGACAGACTCAGGCCTCGCCACACTGGACCTTAGGAGAGGGAAGGAGGTTGGCGAGGGAGCCCATTGGATCCTGCATTCTAGACTGGGACCCTGTCTATGGGCATAAACAGAAGTGCTGAGCAGACAGGAAATCCTACTCTCCCTGCCTCCTCTACCCTCTCCTACTGCCTTTTGGGCAGGGGGGAAGGAAGTACAGGGGAAGCCACCCCTGTACCAGCCCCCTGAACTGAGCCCCATCCTCTGCACACTGGGTGATCACCCGGGCAAGACAGGAGCAGTCAGCAGGGTTCCCGTTAACCCCGCACAGGTGCTTAGCAGAGTGTGTTTCTGTCTGTAGACGTAACTGGGGGCTGCTTATAGGGGCTGAGCCACAGAGTGAGAGCTCAGAGCAATGAGAGGCAGTGAGGCACTGTTCCCACCTGTGGCTCTTCTATCCTGAGCTACTGCACCAGTGAGAAGCTTGTGCGGCCTGCCTTGAACCCCATTTTCCTACCTACATGTTTTATCCAACTATTTACCCATTGGAGCAGGAGTGAAATAAGCCCTGTGGGGTCGGGGGGCACTCTTTGTACCTAGTTACGAGGTGGAGAATGAGTTCTGACCATGGACCTCCTTTGATCATGTCCTTGGTTCCTGCCCAGAGTCCTGTCCGGGACCCAAGACCCAGGACACACACGAGCACGTGCGCACACACCTTGCCCTTGCTGCAGCCACAGTAGACCACTCCTCTCCCACACACAATGTGGGAGTGGGGCCTGGGTCCCACTGGGTGGGTATTTGCCACGCTCTGATCTTTGCCTCTGTAGCTGTCACCAGATGCTTGGCTGGATGACAGGAACCCGGGTGTTGCTACTGAGGGAATGGGTACATGCATCTTAGGAATTCCTGTTAGACCCTGCATTCCTCCTTGTCCCCCTTCTTGGAGGCTGAGTAAAGAAGGGGGACTGAGGGAGACTGCTGTGTGCTCTCTGCAGGTTGCTTCCCGCATGCTGGATAGCCTAGGTTCTGATCGCTCTCTGCTCAGCAGTTTAGGCTGAGTTAGGAACACTGCAACATGGTGCTTTCGGCAGTAGCCGGAACTGGGTCTAGGGTAGTTTCTTTTTGTTGGTGGTGGTGAGGTTTTGGTTTGGGGGTTTTGTTTTGTGGGGTTTTCTGGTTTTGATTTTTTGTTTTTTTTGAAGCAGGGTTTCTCTGTGTAGCTCTGGCTGTCCTAGTACTCGCTCTGTAGATCAGGCTAGCCCCCAACTCAGAAATCTGCCTGCCTCTGCGTCCTGAGTGATGGAATTAAAGGAGTGGAGTGTGCCACCATTGCCCAGCAGGGTGGTTTCTTGAGAGTCCTTCAGGTCTCGGGAGCCACGTCTGGGCTAGCCCCTGAAAAGCCTTGACATTTGGGAAGAGATCCACTGAGTGGCTGGAACCATAGCATGCTGCAGGCCGCCAACCCTGCAGGCCCACGGCCGCTCCCCAACCCCTGCAAGCTCTGGACACACACACCCCAACTAGAACTGAATATCCTAAGTCGGTGTAGAAGGGTGTGTCTGACTTCATTTGCCTCTCCTTGGAACACAGTCTCTGTAGCCTTGGGGTATAAGCCTTGTCAGGCAAGCCTGTGGCAGTAACTGAACTCTTGGGCCCCTCCTGGGCACAGAGGAAGCTCTGTGATTGCTTGAACAAAACACCTGCTTGGCTTCTCCCCAGTCCAACCCATTTCTGTTCCTCTGCTGAGTGGGAGGTTGTCTGATGGCTGTACCCAGGTGTAGTGATGTGTGCACTGTAGGATGGTGGTGTCTGTTGAGGGTGTCCCACCTTTACCTTCTGAGGCTCTCTTCCTGTCCTCCTCTCCACCTTCTGAAGCTCTCCTGAAGCTTGCATGGTCCTCTATACCTGTCTTAGCAACCTCCAAGGGTGCTGAGGGCCCAGCTACGGACAGCAGGTGTACTCCAAGGAAGCCTTGGATAACCCTGCCTGGGAGAATGTTGGAGAAGGTAGCCTGTTCCCTGGCGTGCTTGAAGTTTGCTTATCCCTGTCAGGAACAGGGTCCCCACATGACCTATAAGGTTGTGTGCTTTGCCCTGAAGGGAAGGCAAGCATGGGCTTGATCACTCATGAGAGTGTATGCTTCCTCAAGATAGTAGTTACCTGAGCCTCCCTTGTGGTCTTGAGTTAGGTAAAGTTTAATATTCAGTACCATTGCTTTATGGGGCCACAAACCAGAGCCCACAGCTACCAAGACCTTGACTTACACTGCCCTGGCCCAGTAAACCCCAGATGGGAGTGGGGAAACAGCAGGACAGGGGAGCAGAAGCTGGGGGGGGGGGGGGGGGGGGGGGGGGGGGGGGCGGAGGCAGAGTAAGTAAGTGGAGGAGAAGCTAGACACTGAGCAGATTGAGTCCCAGAAGTGCAAGTCCTGCGGGAACATCAGCTTCTTGCTGATGAGCTGGAGTACTTGGCCACAAGCCCAGCGGTTGGCTTGGGCTGCACCCTCTGGTGGCTGCTTGCAGCACTGTTTCATGAAGGACCTTGCTGGGCATACTCTGAGCAGTCAGAGCTGACCCTGTATGCTTTCACTGCTGGGGTGGTACAGGAGGACTTGCCCTGTCACTGAGCCCACCCGCTACTCTGCAGTCTGACAAATAGGGTGCCCCTGAACCAGCTGAACTCAGTGAGAGGACTGGCAGGGGTGTGGGCTGGCACACAGTTTCTGGAGCAGCACACCTCCAAGGTACTGTGCAGTCAGCAGCCCCGAGCCCCTTATCTATCCCATTTACAGGACTTCGTCACTCTGTAAAAGTGCCCTAGCCTCTTAGGGCACACTAAGGTATCAAGTCAGCTTTGGTAAAGTGGTGGTGGTGGGGGTGTTGTCCAATGGGGAATAAACTATGCAGGTAAGAGTCTCCAGCCCATAGCGGGTTTCAGGGAGGACTCTTGGGCAGGAAGCTCAGCCCTCTACATATGACTCAGCTCTAGTGAAGTGACCACTGTGTCCTTGGTGGTCAGAACCTGTGTCTGTACCCTGAGCTACGTGCCTGAAGGGATAGCTGGTCTCTAGGGTGCCTGGGCTGGAACAGGCTGGCAAAGGGTGGAGCCAGGTTCCAGGCTGCACTTGGCGCCTGAGGTCTGCCCAGGCCTTCAAGGGGCTGAGGGCAGTGGTAATGGGCAGACTTTGTGGTTTTCCTGTTGGGAGAGGAACCTAGATCATGGGAGCTATTGTCCCCAAACAATGAGCCTGGCTAAGACCCATGAGGGCAGTGGCCCCAAGCTGGTGAGACCCAGCCCATCTCAGCCGTCACCCATTTTCAACCCTCAACCTGACCTTGGGTCTAGTCTGTCCTGAGGCTCTTTCTGCCATACTCTTGGTTCCTGTCATCCCAGCTGACCCAGCATGGAGATGCTCCCAAAACCTCCTCAAAGGGCTTTAATGCATAATGCACCTTGTACCCCAGCTCAACAAAATCAGCATAGTGGAGAAGGTGTCACTGGCACCTAGGCAGCAAAGCTGAGCTCCCAGGCCAGGCCTGCTGCTTAGACAGAGGCCTGGCAGGTCCAGGAGCCCCCAGCTTGGGCCAAGGTTGGAGAGGTCTAGAGAGAAGGTCTAGGTAAGCCTGGTGAACTGAAGACAGTATCCACTCTGCCCTATGGTGTAACTCCTGTCCCCCAATTTGAAGGTTGTGAATAGCTG